TATAATTAAAACCCATCTGCCATTTATTTGCCCAACTCACTAAATAATCTAAATTTTTTTGTAAATCAGTGGCATCCTCTTCACAGCTAGCAAACATCCAAGACTTTAATATCATCTGCAAATATAAGTATTTTATTGACTATTCCTTCACCTATGTAATCAAAAAGAGCAAAGGTCCTAAGACTGAGCCCTGAGGTACTCCACTTGTGACATTAATCCAGTTTGACTGAACTCCATTTGTAAGAACCCTCTGTTTTCTGCCCTCCAACCACTCTTATATCCAATTTGCTAACTTATCCCCCACACCTATGTTTTTCTACAAGCCTTTTACCAGATCTACACTCTTACTCTCATCAACATAAGCAGTAACCTATTCAAAAATTGTCAAAAGATTTGTAGGGTAAGATTTTCCCTTAGTGAAACCATGTTGACTATCCAGTAAAATTCTGATTTAACAGACTTTCCAAAACTTTTCCCCAAACTGATGTAAGACTAATGGGTCTATAATTACTTGAACAATTTTATCACCTACATTGAAAAGAGGAGTTACATTAGCTAACTTCCAATTCTCTGGTACCTGCCCACTATTCAAGGACTGACAAAAAATAGTAGAAAGTGGATCACATATCCAATCTTTAACCTCCTTCAAAATAGTTGGGGAAATATTATCTGACCCAGGAGCCTTATTGTTTTTTAAACTTCTTAATTTTTTTTACCTCAAAATTAATGCAGTCATCTTGTTTGATCTTGTTTCCATTTATCAACTGTTCAAGATGTGGAATACTGCTTAAATCTTCATTAGTAAAAACTGAAGAAAAATCAAAATTTAATAATTCACCCATCTCATAATCATCAGATACTATCTTTCCTTTATCATTCCTCAAGGGCCCTACCCCATCATAACATTTTGTTTAACCTTAATATATTTAGATAAATCCTTACTGTTCATTTTTACATTTTCAGCCGAACTTTTCTCATACGTCCTATTTGGTGTCCTAATTTCCTATTTCACCAACTTTCTTGATCTTCTATATCTTCTGTCATACCAGTCAATATAAAATTCTTAAATTTATGATGCCATTCTTTAATTTTATCTCAAACTCTTTGTGAGCCAACCTGGTTTTTTTTATTTGCAGGTATCCTTTTCTTTCCATAAGGAATATGTTTACCTTGAATATTTAAAACTTTATCTTTAAAAATTTTCAACATATAATCAGTGTCTCCAAATAACCCAATTCACAACAGATAATTCTTGTTGCATCCTTTCAAAAATTTGCTTTTTTGAAATTTGTAACCAAAATATCATTATTCCTTATTTCCATATGCAGCAAAACATTGAACCCAATTGGATAATGATCACTTGCACCCAGATGTTCCCCAATTTCCACCCTCTTGATCATTTCTGTCATTGTAGTTAACAATAAGTCCAAAATAGTATAGTTTCTAGTTCGTTCCTTGAATAACTGGTGAAGAAAGCCATCCTGAACAGTTTCCAAAAACCTTTCTCCCTCATGGTTTGACACTAGCATTTCCCAATCCATATGCCTAAAATTAAAATCACCCATAATTATGACTTCTTTCACAGCTGAAATCTGAAATCTCATTGTAAAGTTTCTCATTAATTTCATCAGTATCATTTGGTGGTTTGTAAAATATTCCCACTAAAAGCCTTTTCCCTTTAAATCCACTAACAGAAACCCAAATGAATTCAATTTCTTTGCTATTATCTTTGAAATCCTCAATTTCAACAGGATGCAACTCACATTTTACAATATGTTAAAATTTAGTGTATTTCGAAAATGCTTTGCCATCAGTATACCACCACATTACAACTCTAACCTTCCTTTAAGTCAGAAACTAAGCACTTTTAACACATATGCTTAGTGTGCTATTAACATATATTCAGATATTACAGATATAAACAAAAAAAATTTATTTAAAAGGAGTAGTAGTAGATAAAGTTTATGACCATATAATTCTTGACAGAGTTTTCCAAAATATGAACGACAAACATCTACAAATGAAATACTCTGAATTAACTCAATTAATTACTTCTCAAAACAAGTTCATTAGTATACCATTTTTACCTGGGATTTTGGAAAAAAATTGCTAAACCATTTTGATTAAATGGTTGCAAGGTAGCATTCATTCCACAAAACAAAACTGTCAACTATTTATAAACACTCAAGGGAGTGGCATGGCATGGTGGTTAGGGGTGCTTGACACACACAATCTACTGGTTGCTGGTTTGAATCCACATCACACCAAACATGCTCGCTTTTTAAGCCATAGGGATTTTATAATGTGACAGTAATCCCTCTATTCATTGGTAAAAAAGAGCAGCCTAAGAGTTGGCAGTGGGTGATGTTGACTGGCTGCCTTCCATCTAGTCTATCACTGCTAAATTAGGGATGGCTAGCTCAGATAGTCCTCATGTAGCTTTGCACAAAATTCAAAACAAACACTCAAAGTTCTTAAAAAGACTGAAGATAAAGATTGAAGTTGTAATTCCAGTAAAATGTACATATGACAAACAAAAACGAGATTGAAAGAACACCAGTATGACATAAAACATGACAACACTATGTCCTCTACTCTAGCTGAGCATTTCTGGAACTGTGATGGTAATTTTGACTGGAAAAATGTAAAGATCACAAGAAATGCACAAACAAACATAGAAAAGAACTTAAGAAAGAGAGCACTTGTAAAATGAAAAACAGTCATGTGTGTATAAATAGAGATGATAGACCAATCAACATGTCCTATTAGAATACTTACTTAACTTATGTAATCCCTCATTTACAATTTACTTTCTACCCCTTGTTTCTTCACCTTGCTTTTAAAAATTAACTCACCCATTAGCAGTTATAGCTGAATATTCTTTGTTACACACACATGTAAACACACATACACATTTCACCCATTAGCAGTTATAGCTGAATATTCTTTGTTACACACATACACATTTCTAAAGTAAATTATTTTACCTGCTCTTGACTGAACACTCAGTTTCTTCATACAAACAATTCCTAGTAATTGGACCAGCCAACAAAAATTCTTGTACAGATTGGATAGAAAAACACAACTGAATACCTGAAGTAGAGAAAGAACACAAAAATTCTTTAAAAGTTAACAATCATTGCAATAGCAAAAGTTAAATTTAGAAAACATCAAAGTAAATGTACTAATTTTATAAACAACCAAAGGTTATTAGTACATCTACATAAGGTTCAGAAATTTTAGTCCATAGAAACTGAAAGAAATGCTTCATGAAACAAAGTTGTTTGAGCCCAAATATTCAAATAAAAATACTACATTTGTCTAGTGTCTTGAGTTTAGTTTCAATATTTTGAAAAGTTTTCTTATTTTATAAATACCTGTTAAGATCTTATACACTGGTTGAAAGACAGAAGTTATATTTTGCTTTTATGAATACCTAAATGACAACCAGGGAAATATTTAATTTAGAGTTTCAAATACCACCATGTAGTACATTCTACTACCAATAAAATCCTCCTTATACTTATAAATCATTGTTTGCCTATCTATTGTTAACTAACATGCTATTCTGCCAAAGTATCTAATTGAGAATGAAAGACACTTCTCTACTAAATATAAATGTATGGAAACAAAATAATCCCTTCAACAGGTGGCATTTTTATCAGTCCCTTTAAGTTCAAATTTGAATGCACAAAATCAATCTTGTAATTAATTTACATATGATTATCACTTACTCTATTTACTTGTTTGATTAGTCCAATGATTAGAAATTATAATGAAACATCCCACTTACTTGTTTATAAAAATGAAACACTAAACATAATGAAGATTACTCACAACATCACATTTTAAAAAGCTGTCTTAGTCCAGAATTTTTTTTCTGGCTGAATTATATTTTAAATAACTGACACTAAACATGAAGTCTTTACTAAGTATAAATATCAAATATCCCATACAATTAAACATATAAAAAGCAATGTAAAACAGCGAAATAAATTTGAAAATTTATTATATGAATTGTTATTTTTTGTCTAGTGAAATTAAAACATTTTCAGTTGAGAATCATGTGAACAGGGAATAATATTATCTGACCAAAAAGGTTATATGTCAGATAT